TTTTTTTTTTTAGAAATGGTTGTGATTTATTTATTTGTTTTGGCTTGTTGTGTTTCAAATTTGCTAAAGCATTTTTTCAGATTATTTACATCAATTAAATGCAATTTTGTATTTTAGCGAGTTTTATTTCCTCAAAAAAAAGTTTGAGCGCAACGCAAAATCCAAACAGATTTCGTGGTTGAGAATTTTTATTATTTTGTTTTGATTTCATTTGTAGTTATAGATAAAACGTAGTATATTATTTTTATGATCAAAATTGTGTATTTAACAAAAAAAAAAAATTGTTTTCGTTCTTTCTAAATTTATACTGTCAGCAATCGCGAGTTATGTATGTGTGTTAATTTATTCAAAATATCCCAGAATGCTTCAATGATAAAAGAGTTAAGTTAGATCAGGTGGTAGCCCAGCCCACTGTTTTACTACTTGATAGATATTCCTGGAAACTTGGTAGGATAAAATTCCGTCGGGATTTTTACTAAAAGCCCCTCTATCCAACAGCGGTATACAGGTTACTAAATGAACGGAACTCCTAGGCTTGGACAATTCATCAACCATGCAGCTTCCTGCATTTGCTTTGTGACCTGCGGCTTTTATCGGCCTGCCTTGAAATCAATCCCGGGCGAACAAGGTATGTATGTATTCCCCGAGCTGCCTACAGCCTTGATTGCCGCTTGGCTATCAGAGACGATATTTTCCCTTCTAATCAGTAGTATGTAGCCCTGTCGACTCGCTCCTTAATAGCGAATCCCTCTGCTGGAAGTACTTTGCTCAAATGCGGAAACCTAAACTTCATATGTTTATATGTTTACTAGACGTCTGTTCCAAAGGCTTCCGCTCTCCCATTCACATTTTGAGGAATGTGTGTAAAAGAATAGCTTTTCCTGCCGCGGGCATAAACATTACCTCCTGAGTCCTCGAAATATGTTACCTATTTAATAATTCCAAACCAGACTGCGTTTTTCCATTAGTTCACCAGAAGAAAGCCAGCAGTCTGTTGGCCATATACCGTAGTACTTTCGAGGTCATGAGGTTAGCATCC